CTTTTCTGGATTTTCTTTCTTGTAAATTTAATCTAATACCTATGTTGCCATATTATCAAGAAATTATGTTTTTTTAACTAAAATCTAAAAAAAAATTTCGAATTTTCAAAATTTGTTTTTTCGCGAAAAAAACTTCTTAGGCGTGTTTCTGGGGTTGAATTATACTACCAGTTAAAATATTTGCACTTATTTCTGGGACACCCCGTATGTTCTGGCAATGTGTAACCTTAGTATGTAACCACAATTCACTTAATCCATTGAAATTAATTAATTAAATTAAAAATATAAATAAAAATTGTAAAATTCTAAATATCTCAGTTGGGAATTCTGAATGACACATTATCGAAAAATATCAACATATACAAACATCTTAATAGATAAACCTGGGGAATTTGATCATCCTTTACTTTCAATAACAGATGTAAACATGCAAAAAATATGAAAATAAAACGATTTTTAATGAGAGTGTTTTTATTTTGTCTGGGCGGGTATTTTATTAATTACGAATAATAATCCATATTTTGTTGACTGAATTACAAAACAATAATTACTTGTAACATCAGGTAATAACAAGGCACTTAACTATTACATTATAAACTTTAAAAAAACATTATTTAAATTCTATCGTAAAGTTATCAAATCCGAATAATAGGTTTAATTTGCATGCAATGAACATTTTACATTGAGAACGTTGTTAATATTAAGCAGATATAATTTATCACTCTTATTCGAAAAATCGTAATGTTTGTTTTAGTACTTGAGTAATTTTTTGGCAAGGAAATAGTTTAATTTATTGGTGCATCAGTAAAACATACATGTAGTCAGGCTGTCTTGGTTTGCTGTTTGCTTTGCCAAACATTGCAAACGAATTTCCTGGTAATATATCTATGACCTTGGACATAGTAAATTAGATGGAATATATATTTTTATAAATGATTGACAGAGATTGATAATGCACAATGCATGTGTCTAAAGATAAATTGAGTTAATAATTAGTGTTTTTAGTATTATTTCTTCTTGCAGCTAAGTATTCATTCCTCAGACAAATAGCCAAACCTGAAATCATAGGCAACTGTTAAAACAATAGGTTAATTAAAATCTTTTTGGAGTAAAAGTCTAAAAATAGGTGGAGTATTTCAAGAATTTGGAGTATATTAACTACACAATGCTCGGTAATCAATCGATTGTTGGAATCGCAACGTAAACAACAGCCGTCTAATTTCATTGACTAAAACAATCGTTGGAGTTAATATTCCAATCATGTGTAAGCTAAGCGTATATGGGGGAATTGGCAGACGGTTCCGTATATTTGTTGAACTAGGAAACAGAGCGAATAGTTGAATAGGCCGGTTGGTTTTGTACATAAATCGTAATTATGTCGTATTAGGAGTAAAGGAAGTAACTACAGCGGAAAGAAAATTATTTTCATGATTTAAACTATTTCTGTCTCAGAGAAATAAGTAAATTTGAAGAAGTTCTAAAATATTTCAAATTTTAAACATTTCTTTCTTTATGTCTTCTGCCATAGATATGTATAAAAAGAGAAACCAACCATACACTTTGATTTGATTTGTCTCAACAGACACAACCCAAGCAGCATTTGGACGTCGGGACAACGTTGTGTCACGCGACCAAACGTCGGGGCGCAACGTCGGCACAACCTCGTGCCAACCCTAGTCTGCACTAGTTTGGAGAATAATTTTTGGGTCGAAACGACGTTGGATACCGACGTTGGCTAGAAGCCTAATTTAGTACAAACTGCAACGTTGTTTAAAATTCTAATTCACAGAAATACAAAACTAATATGGCGTCTAAATCGCGTTTTATCCTAAATTGGGATAATTATAGTAAAAAATATTATTTTTATGATTTAGTTAGAGACATATGTCAGATGGCAGTGAAGGAAAACAAAACAAAAAGTATTTAAGTGTGGAGGATGTTTGAAGATCATAATTATTGAAACACTTTAACCGACTCTGTAACTCGTTACCCAAGGCAAAAAAAGTTAAACGCAAACAACTTTATTGATAAATGTATTGTTTCTACTTTGAAAAATACTAATGGGCCTTAAAATTAAAGAAGTTTTACAAATTTTCTTGAATTTTTTTTTAGTAAAATGAGAATAATTTATTCGCAGTCGAAAAAATTGTTTCCGCGTGTTTTTTAGGGTCAAATATTTCAAGTTAATGTATTCAAAAAGCAGGAATTGCTATTTTAGGAATGAAACATTTTCTTATTTAACATGGCGGCTTTCACTTTGTTGTTTTGAAGATTAAGATGGAGTAGTTCGAGTAGTCGCATACTGGACTAATAAAGTCGCAGTTGGGCCTTAACAGGTAGTATACTAGTCGCAAGATTGCCTAATTTAGTCATCCTAGAGTCTAGCTTGTGCCGCCCTCTATAATCTAAATAAAAGGGGGAGTCATAGACTTAAAATAAAGGGAGTGGATAAACTATCGGTAATATATGTCGATGTATATTTAAATTTAGTTTTATATGTACCTTTCTTATGTCCCATTTTAATTAAGTTTTTTTTTTATAAAAACAAAAACAGCACTGAACTGTCTGACTGAACAGAACAATGAAGTGAAAATTTAAGATTTAAGGTTATGGTTCAATACAGTTGCAAAAGGTAGTGACTCGACGTCCTACCAACGTAAGAATAAGGAAATCTAAAACAACGTTGGAATTAGTAAAACAGACGACGTTTGCATAACTTTGGAATAGGTCCTGAAACTGACGTCGGAAAACTCTATATTGTCCAACGTTGTAACTACGTTGTCCGAATCATCTAAAGATCACTTAAAAAAAGGTTACAAGACAACGTTTATTCGACGTCGCAGAAGCTTCTACTTTGCTGTAGTACTAGTCCAACGTCGGCACAACGTTATAAAAACGTTTAAATTTATTTTAATACCCAAGGTAGGGAGCTAACTATTTTTTGTAACTAATCCAACGTTGTGTTTAGTAAATATGTGGTCGCAAGTCGTGACAATGCTACTTGGGAAGCAAAATATAAACAAACTCTTTGTTCATGCCGGGTTGGCATTTCTGCCTTTGGTGCCGATTTTTATGTGTACGAAGAGTACAGTCAATACGCGATCAGTATAATAAGATGTACTGAATAAAGAAACAAGAGCAAGTATTTTACCAAGCGTATGAAATCTAGTTTGAATCTAGATCGTCCTGATCCGACTTCAAGATAGACGATAGCGATTTACTCCTACACATGTAAATACCGACTCAAGACTGTCCCATGCTGTCTTGCCGATATGGTATAATATGCCTATGAAATCTTAAAATACTACCTAAAATATAAATACTATGCTCGAAAAATGCTTGTATCCAAGCCTTCTCTTGGGTCGGTATTGAAAAACATTCCGGCGTCATAGGCGTCCGCGTCGTCAAAAAAATTATGAAAAATATAAATATCTCTTCAAGTAGCTAAAGAAAGATATGTAGCACGGCACTGTTTAGAGGAATGGTAACTAGTCTCGGGTATTATTGGTCCTTGTATTCTTTAGTTCTTGAATCTAGATATTTACTTTCAAGTATAAATGGTTTATTTTTAGGAATTTCCTTCTTCATAATTCGCATATAAAACCGACTATTAATATAAAGAGTTCGAAACCATATCGTTTCTTCTGTTCTATTTCCGTCTTCCACATTGTCATCAGTGGCTTGGTTAAAATTAAATGGCGTCTCCGGCTAAAAAAAGAACAAAGACGGCCTGGAATACTCTCTCTCCTGCGTCTTCTGCCTGGATCTAGGCCAACGACTAATACGCGATGCAAAGTGGTTTTTCCATAGGAAAGTGGTACTTGCGAAGTGGCTTTTCCTATATACTTTCCCGCTGATTCCGGGCTATTTTTAAACAGCCCAGTTTAGAACGTAGCGCCGCCGTCTTTTGGAGCACAATGCGTCTCGAAAAACTCCAGTTTGAAAAGGAGGGAATTTTATTTCAGGATTAAGTAAAGTAATTAGTGGAAGAAAGTGATACATTTTTAAATAAAAATTGAATATGTATGATACAGAAACCAATAGATAAAAATCTATAAATATTTAAATAAAAAAAGTGTGGAGAAAAAATCGTTGTAATTTTTATTAAATTAACTAGCGTGTGAATGAATTGATCATTTGTAATGGTGATGATAAAGCAATGCAAGAATTTCCATTAACTACATCGCCTACTATCAGAGTCGATGCACGACGTATGGCAGTTTTCTGTCTCTATCTAACTCATCGTGCGGTAGCGAGGCTACATAGGAGTTGTATCGTATTAAGGCGGAGCTTAGGCGAAATCTCCGGTCGCCTTCGCATGAAGTCGTGGAGGCTCGGTAGGCTTAGATGTTAAGGGGATATTCCGGATATTTCATAAGGAGATATATCACATTTCGTTAAGGGGTTAAATTTTACTGATATAATAATAAATAACTTTTCTTTATTAAGAGACCGACTCATCAATTTAATATATAAAACACAATTATTCTTTCTCTCAATACTACCAATTTTTAAGTTTGCGTAAATAAATAAAAATAAAATAAAATTTTATGATGTACTCCATAGTGACTCCATAGTAATAGATTAAAAAATAGATAAAATTGATTAATAAAAACTATACTTGTACATTATGTCAATCATTATGTCATTACGTTGAATGCTTATGTCATTACGTTGAATTGCCTAGCCAGTCACACGGGTGACGAGCCGCCACTGATAGTAACCGACAAATATCATTAAGAAAAGATTATATTTAGAGGCGCTAACCACTTGAAATGACTTTTTTCTAAGAATAAAGCCTGTTACTTAGTAATTGATTAGATAAAATAAAGCGTTCTGAAAAATACGAGTTCTTGGAAAATGTGGCGCTTAAATAATTCACAATAAAGAAGAAATTCTTAGAGTACAATAATAATCATGTAAATATTAGGTCTGAGCTTAAGATACGCACTGTAATTGAAAATTGAGATAATAATTAATAGATGATTTTGTTGTTTTAGGTCTGAAGGAATGGACACAGCATCAGATTCTTCAACTACAACGAATAATGATTTTCCATTAAGAAAAACAGGTAAGATTACAACAAACAATTATTAACATATTATAAAGAATACTAATAGGATATTTGAATTGTGCTATTCCGATATTCCTAGATATACAGTTGGTCCAGTGGTCCAGACAATTTTATTACGGTGATTTTGTAAACATAAACTGCTTAACACAAAATTACATGCCGATGCTCACGAAGTAGGAATAAAAAACTGTTATAATGTACAAAAACGACAAAAAATATCTCGTGGACTGTTGGGCCAGCCTTAGGAATGAATCAGTCAAAATGTGTCAGCAAAACTGACAGGTGTAGGGTGTAGACCCGCGATATTGCGCAATAGTGAATTTATAAAGATCCAATGAAAGTAATTTTTATGATATTATCTTAAGTGCCCAAATACATTCAAATATATTAAAGTATTTAAAAACTGCAAACTGTTATTATACTATATTGAGCAATTATTTTTATCTTGTTTTCTCGTTTTCAAATGTAAATTTATACATCAAATCAAACGATTTTATAATTAGATTTGTATCTATTATACAGATTGTGTAAATAAATAAATTAAACCTCGTATAATAAACAAAACATGCAATGTTACGATGAGGAATTTGATTAACATAAATAACGGCGCCATGTTTGCTACAATATGCAAAACACTCTTTATCTAACCTAAGGCTGAATTTGTTAGAGCTTATACAATATTAATTCGGAATTTAAATATTGCGCGAATATATTAGAACAAATACTTGTAATTGAATCAAACAGGTACCATGGGATGTGTGTATTTTAAATTATAGCCCATCACCTGTGCCATCACTATAGTGATATAGGAAGTATTTAAAACGATATCAAGAATCTCTTCTTGTTTGAACCTCTTCGTGTACTATTAGTCCAGTAAATAAGGACACAAAAAGAGAGTAGTTAGCACATTTTTGTCATTACCTTTTGGGGAGTATTTAATAGATAATCAAAGGCCAAAATGACATTTCTCGCAAATTTTGAAGTATAATTAGTGGAAAAGTTAAAAGTTTGATAACTTTTTTCTACTATTTCAAAATGTCTACCACTAATTTTGACGTTCTGAATGCTTACATTGATATTAAAGAAACAAACTTCTACGCTAATTGAAAATTGAAACCGCTAATTTATTCCACTAATTGCGAGGTTCTGAATGAATCTTTCTTGTCTTGCCGAGTGTATACATTTTGTAGGGACCAGTTAGACCTGCTATAATATTGTAAAATCCTAAAATTAAGAAATTGGCGCTTATCAAGTTTTTCCCCTGGACCCTTCATTTGGAATAGTCAAGAGAGAATGACATCTTCCAAACCAAACCAAACGCCAAACCAAACGCACCATAGAGCCTGTTTTAAATTTCCAGATTTGCTTCAGAGTAACAATTCTGAAGCAAATCCGTTTTAAATGAACTAAATAATATTAAAATTATAGCTAATTTTTGCTGGTTACCAATATAGCAAACACAAATAAATAGGATGGTAGCACAGATTAGGTATATTATATGTATACAGATAAAAATCTTATCCCTAATTCGTTGTACGAAAATTGTTTAAAAAAAAAACAATAAACAGCGTAATAGAGTGATATCGCTAAACGGAATAGCGTGCATGGACGTTAAGAAGGCCAGGTGTTATTTCCTTTACGTGAGGTGGTATTAATTCTCTTCTTCCTCTTCATTTATAGTTATCGGATTGGAAAGAATTCTGTTCGCGTCGCGTCCGCTATTTAAACTTAACCTAACTTTGAATTTAAAACTTTGAAATTGTTTTGTTTACTAGGTATTTTAAAACTAAAGGGTTTTAAAGTGCTTATTTCCAGTGCTTTATTGTTCAACGTCTGCCAGTGGGTTTAGGGCAACAAGCAACAAATTCTCTTAGAAGTCGTCATCTGCTGTAAACCTAAGCCTCTTTATAAGTTTTTTAATATTGGAAGAGGTGGAATCCATATTTAGGGCCATATTTATTTAATTAAAACTAATCCCACCAGCTACTTAAATATCAAATTACCTAATAAAACTAAAGTAATAATTCAAAACAATTCAAACATAACCTAAAATAAAAGATTTCGCCGGCCGGGGGTGCAAATTTGTTCATGTTTCAAAGCGATAGCAAAGTAATTTAGTAGCTTGAGGCACTATGTTCAGTAGCAACATCGATTCGTAGCGATATTCTGATTGCTCGCTTTGTGGCGTGGCGACTGCCTAGACCGTATCGCACACGTGTGCAAGAGTGTGATAGTGATACCATATTTCGCAGCATTTTCCGAGAATACCCGATTTGATAAAGCGACAATAGTTTTGCAATGACCATAGCAACGAACATGCTTCGACATCGCTTCTAAACGATCGGTTGCTAACTTGAACAAAGTTGCACTCCGGCACCGGCTGTCAAATACCCGCACATGCCCATTTAAGCAATCTTTAAACGATATTTAGAAATGGCGCTTGGTGTAATTGATCCGCAAAGTACGTCAGGCGATAACGTTATTAGCGGGTGTTACGTTAAAAATTGACTCGCGCATATCGTAGTCATGATAAGGTACGCGTAAACACTGCATGACGCTATTCGGTTTTCCGATATCTCTCTAATAACTGTACCGGTCAGGCGCTGTGCACAATTTTAGAGGCCATAAGTGGGCGCGCTATGTGCGCAAACTAGTAACCTAACTAGTGCCCGATTCCGAAAATTGGAACCACGAAAAACAATAAAGAAAAAACAAAGTTTGTAATCTGTATAATCTGTGATGGTAGGGAATTATTTGATTAATTCTACACATTTAAAGGGCCAAGGTCAGTCACGGCGATTATCAGATGATGTCGTGCTCAAGCCGATATATTTTTAACGTTTCTTTTTAACCGGCACAAATTAAAAATATACGCGTAATTCCACCACGCGGGTTGATTAATGAACCAGCCAATTAACACAAATTATTTTTATCGCGCGCTGTCAATTCAAAATGTTTATGATAGTAAACTTAGATAAAAATTAATGAATTTACATTGTTTGTAAAGATACACAACCACACTCGCACATTCATTGATCGAATCTCTTGATTTTACATTAAACTAGGCTGTGTGTACCGGGTGCGTCTCAAAAGTGGCTCACCCCTATAACTTTTTTATTTTTTCAGATAAAAAACGAGATTTCATATGTTAGTATATGACATAAATATGGGATTGATTGAACCTGGTATTTTTCGAATTTATTGACAATGCAGAGTAAACAATTAAACCTGCCGTATTCAACAAGTATCGGCAATTTTTCTTTGACCTACTTTTCTAACAAACTACCAATTATATAGCGATTTTTCTTTGGAAAAACCTTCGTTTGTCAGTCTAGAACCGTTCAGTTTTATAAATAAAATATTCTCGAGGGTTTTCCAAACAAATGACCCAGAGACAGGACAAAGTTTTTCTTTATTATATTTATTGATCGCGATACGCAGAGACTACAAACTTCTTAGCGACAGTAGACATGTAAAAAACGCAATTTTCTTTAGTAGTAAATATATGTATACGGGGGTAGGTCAATATTTCAGTGTTTTCAAGCCCATGGGTAAATAATAATTTACGTCATAAGGCTGGAAAGTAAAATGAGGGTAGTACAGGTTCCGGCTGCAGAATTATTACGCGCATCATATTTTAGAAATAGGGAAATACACTTTTAACAGGGTGCTAATCAAAAACTTGCCGCAAATAGGAGTTGTCATGGTTCAAAATTTTTCCTACTACTTTATACGGGTCCGGCAACAATGCATCGGGATTTTTTTTGGATAAGTACAAACCTTATTAGGATATATTTCAAGAAAATATTTTAACTTCTACAGGGTGGCTCAAAAAAGTGTGAGTGGATCGGGATGATTTTTTGAAATGGAATACCCGTGTATTATTGTATTTTTGGTTTCCTTTCTGATCACTTTACATATTCAGAAATGTTAGTAAGTAAATAAATAAAATATTTTTTTCAGACTTTAAAAAAAATAAACATACAAGAAATGTACTGAAATCAAAACTGTACTAGGTATTTGCTGTAGTTAGTCTGTACTTACTTTGCTATAAATATCGTAATCTTAAATCATACAGGTTGCTCAAAATTCTATGCCGAACATTCTAAAATATCAAATAGTTTTCTTCGTTATTTTTAATGGAACAGCTAAAAATACTAAAATGTTTTAAATACAAAAAATGTTCATTTTTTAATTCTCCATTGAACAAAGAAATAATAACATAAAAAACGACGAAAAAACACACCTATTTGAAATATTATACACTTTAACAACTTCCTATAATCAAATTTAATATTTTCGTATTATTATTTTCACCATTAAAAATATATTTTTTAGTTTAAACTAAGGAAAAAAAGTGCTTTTCAATGAACGGTATTTATCTTTGTATCATTTTCTTGGTACCGAGTGCCAAGTGTTAACCCAGTTAGCAAAGTTTTGTCACATTTAGGTAACATTAGGAAATAGTTACGTATCTGCGTTTTATTGCTTCATATTAGGCACAAGAAGGGCCTGGTCACGTAATAACGACGTCACCTAGAACACATTTCCATTAAAGGAATGAAATGCCCACTGGGAAGTAACTAAATCTTTAGTGTAAACCTTAAATTGCCAAAATCTTAAGGTGGCTACACACACTACTGCAAGCTTGACAGGTATGCATGAACAATCTTTTTGTACAAGCCATGCATAATTTACCTTCGCCGCCACACAGTACATGCATGATTGAACAAGCTTCAGTTTATGCCGCGAAAAAGAAGATGAGAGAGATTTGTATGCTGCATCCTTCTTCACCCTATCATGATATTCTGGTGATTTAATTCGCCAAAGACACGGCTGATGCGCGAATAAAATCTTCCAATAATCCTCGATTGCTCCTTTTCAGATCGCTAGACATGATGGCGACGCGACGTACAGATCATTTACGACTGAATTAATTGTTTGTACAAGCTGAATACATGTGACACACACGTACCGTTTCGCTTGCGCAAGCATGACTTCTCCAAGCTTGCATGATTCAAATTCAATCAATCATCAAGCGGCTTGCACAATTAAAATGCTTGCGCAAATTTTCCCTACAGACGCTACAGTTTGCTTGTACAAAAAGATTGTTCATGCATGCTTGTCAAGCTTGCAGTAGTGTGTGTAGCCACCTTTATAATTCGTGTTTCAACCGTTTCAACCAAAAAATCAGGTGGTGAAGCAGTTGAAGTTGAAATATATATAAATATCATGTATTTTCGGAAATATCGGTTATTTTTATTGCAAATTTTCTTATTTTCTAGAAAAATCTGCTTTTAACTTGTCAAATAATGATTAATATTCAATTAATATTCATAATTGTTCCAAAATTGAGTTTGTCGAAAAACAAAACATGTTTATGTATATTTATCGTAAAAATAACATAAATTCAAAATAAATGTAGTACTTATATTACTTAAAAAATAATAATCTATAGCACCGCGCCAGACCTAATTATTTTAATTATTTTTTTAAATAACTTGTACTGTAATTATTGACTCTAAAATACCTATTTTTATTTGTAGTAATTTTAGTTATTTTTTGTGTTTTGCGTATCGGATAGTAATTTTTGATTATTGAATAAATTAAATGAAAAATAATGTATTATTCTATATCATCGAAAATAAAACGGCGTCAGTGATCGCTTCGAAATGAAGGTCGATGTCATTTTAAATGTAAAATTATATGTGGAATATATATATTTTTTTTGGATCATACGGTACCCTAGCAATTAATAGGTTATACTCTATTTTTGTCTTTAATTCATTTTTACTTCATTATTAATCTTCTCAATCTAATTTGAATCTAAATAACCGTACTTCAAAATCCTCAGCTCCGATAAATTAATTAATTTTAGCATTCATATTTTCAACCACAGCCTATTCGTACCCAGCCTGTCGATTTAGATGTTCTCAGGTTATGTAACAAATTGGGTTCTGAGCTTTGTAGATTGTACATTGTACGGGAGGGGGAAAGTTTACCACCGCGATCTTAAAGATCTAATGTGTTCACCTTTTTAAGTTATAACACATCATACAGTCTCAGGGCTTTGACAAAAGTCAGTATCTGAGACGGTTTTACAGAGGTTTTTTTCTACATCTCCAATATCAGTCGTACCAAAGTTTATGACACGAATGGTTGTCGTCTCGGCGCATTCAGGGACGAGGTGTTCTGGTGTTTCCCCATTTTCCCCACATAATCTGCCGCTGTGTCTTAGCTTCAATCTACTGAGGTGTTCATTGAGGAGACAGTGTCCTGATAAAATGCGAATATTCAAGAACAAGCAAAGATGGACAAGCAAGACTTTCAACTAACCTACTAGCCTTTCAACTCATAATTACTGTCCCATATAACCAAATTACAGAAGTATATCTATATATTTAACATTGTTGGTGGTCGATCAATAAGTAAATAATTTCCAGAGAACTCTAATAATAATCTTCTTTAAATATCATACTACTTTAATTTAATTATAGGTCGTTTAAAGACAAAAATAGAACATAATTACTTATAATATCACGACCACTTAAAACTATGTACATTTTTATTTCAAAAATACATGCTTTCCTATATTATTCGCAATGCATAATTGACCATTAAAGTAATGAAAAAAAACACTGCGCTGTATTAAAAAAACACAGCAATTCTATTTTTAAACGCGTACCGGCCGAGTTATTGCCAAACAATTAATAAAATTAGATTTTTATAGGAAAGTCAATTACCATTCGTTCGCAAAATACCTACACCGCTTATGTTAAACAGTCGATGAATAAAATCCAAGTGGCGTACAATTATAACGTCGTATATGTAGTCGGTAATGAAAAAGATACGTGCTAAACGCGGAACAACGGTAATAAAACCGTCCATAAATCTAGCTAATTTGCCGCAAAAAGCGCGAGTCATTTCGTATGAAATTATGTAGGCAACACAAATTACACCGGTTTTAAACTTTGCTTTACGTAGTTCATACTTAAAGTTAAGTGAATTATCATCATATCCCATCTCTTATTTTATCCGCAATTGGTAAAATTACGAAGTTCTACTGAAAAAAAGCAAACCAAAAATCCGTGGGGTGTCTCACTTGGATAAAAATGTACTGCCAAAACATCATTTTACTGCCAAGCGACTGCCAATGAGTGCTAAGAAGACTGTCTATGCCATATAATTATAGTCGACTGCCGTAAGACTGATGCCATTGACTGTCAGCGACTGCCAAGAAAATATACATGTAATTCCAACAGTGAGACACCCCTCGCAAAAGCCTTTCTATGATGTTTCTTCACAAAAGCAAAAATAGTAAACAATAAAAAAAATGTATAGGCTTGGTGCATTTCAGATGACTTCAAAAAACCGACCGCAGCGCTGTATACGGCAGAAATCAGAAATTTTCCCTATGTATTTCAAGCCGTCCCGGTAACAGTTCTTGTTGATCGCATTAATCGTGGCTTTTTCATAATATCTAGTCTTTTAGTTTTTTGCTAGTGCAGTTATTGAAACTATAAAACACTCAGGTACGAGGTTTGTGTGATGTAACGCTGTTTCGGGTAGTAAAAAATAAGTGAAAAAGAATTCGAACTAGGCGTCATGTTGTGTTTGATTTGGTTTGGTGACAATTTCAAATGTTAATAAAATTGCCGAAAAAATGTTAACGCGTAAAGGAGAGCGCAATTAGGGCGTTGTTGGGTGCAATAACATTCAATAACTCAACTTTCCCGGATATTCAACTCGCCCGAAACAACATTTTATAGCTTCTAGTTTCTCACATCGACTTGATCAAAAGCAAAATGGATTGAAGCAGTTCGACGAAACAAGTGAGTAAAGAAAGTTCTCGTTGCATAATCAAAAAATTAAATAGGCATATACTATGAGAGGTTAAAATATGATTGCAATATTAATGGTATACTCTTTTTTAATCAACTAAAATTATAATTATCTTAACTACTAAAATTAGAACATCTTCTAAAATTATAATTATGTACCTTTAAAAAATTTCGTTATAGCCGAAATAGCCCCAATTATGATCCTACTACTCGCTATTTAAACCCGTGTATTTCTATATACTATTTGTTTACGATCTTCTCCGATTGTGGCAGCACCGGCGGAGAATGCACCGGCCTATAAAGAAATGTTTAAAATGATTCTTCATCTATGCCTAGAAAGTGGAGCAACTGTAGTAGTGGAGAATAATTAACAAGTGCAAATCGCAAGTACCTCGCATTAATTTACAATAACAAGTACCTCGCATTAAAAAATATAATCAGCTGTTAATTTCTTGAAAAGAATTCTGGGTTACTGGAATGTTGTAGATTATATTAATCTACAGAATAAAAAAGGTTTTTTTTGTAAATACCACAGCGTTGATCCAACGGAGACCAATTTGTCAGTGGTATTTTACTAGTAAAACAAATTTGCCTAAGAATTTCCTCCAGTCGTCAGAAGCAAAAAAATAGAAAAAAGGGAAAAAAGAAAAAACTATTTAAAATATGTAAATAAAACTATTCAAGAACACTTAAGTCAGCAGTTGTGTATTTTCTAAATATTTTAACAGTGGTTTATTTTTTTTTAGCATCCGAGCCTAACTTGCTGAAGGTCCGCCTGAAGCAGCGCGTCATGGAACGGCGCAGTAGTCCAATGAGTAAAAGACTTCCTCCTTCGCTCAAAAAGAAGTTGCTAAGCTCCTGTCTGCCCCCCAGCGAGTCACCGCCACAAGAACCACCAAAGGTACGGTTAAAATCCACCCCAGTTCTTCTAACAAGCTCCATTTTAGGTTTTTTTTCACTACAATTTTTTCTAAAACGTGGGACAAATTATGTTTCACATTCCTTAATATAAAATTATCGGAATTATTTATAAAAAAACAATTCTTGTTTTTATTAATAATTTTTAAAATAACTTCAAGGTAACGTGCCAATGTGAATCATATTAAAATTTTTGAAATTCTTATTTTAAAGAATTTTAATATCATTTCTAGGTCACGTAATATAATATTTCCTGAAAAGGATAGAGGTATTGTAGTTATTCACTTATAGTAAAGTAGTAATTGATTAGATACCATAAAAGATTTCCATATCATTACAAACTCTTTAAATTCTTTAAAGGAAAAATAATTTTCGATGTCGTGTGAAAAATCATATATTTATATACATCTATATTTTTAAAAATATTATTTACTTAGGAATTCCTTCACGGTATATGTACCTCTAAATTCACGCAAAAATTCATATTTTGACTTAAATTATTGTGTTTTATTGAAATTATTCTATTTTTATGCTAACAGTTGTAATAAATAACTAAGATGTAGTATAGAGTCCTGGTAACAGTACAGAGTGTCCCATTTATGTGTGTTTTATAGGGTTTCTCGTTTATGCGTACAGATACAATCACTATGTGATATCAAAATCAAATTTCTCATGTCAAAAAACTGCCAGACCCCAATTTTCATCCAAATATTGACGTTACTTTGGAAATTATTTGGAAAAAATCGAAATAAAATTGAAACTTCTACACCCGGTATATCCGAAACCCGAAAATAAGCATTTTATACATTTATACGAACTTTACGTAGGGAATATGCTGCCGAAGTTTCCGGAATACAGTTCGGACCACCCTGTATATAAAAAATGTGACGAAACTGTTTCGCAATGTTTCTCATCAAAGATTTTGTTTCGATTTTGTGTCTAAAAATGCTATTATACTTGGTAAAAATTAAGACTCATAGAGTTTCTCATAACAAGGCACACAAAATAAAATACACTAACTTACACTAACATAAAATAAAAACACTAATATACAGTGTGTCTCTTTAAAAAAAATAAGTTTGACATATATTTTGAAAATGAAAGCTACTAGGAAAAAACTAGTTAAGCCATTGGATTTTACGTGAAAAAACTCTACGGAACTCAGTTTTCACCATTTTGATAAGTTGTTATAAGTCAACCAAGAGACGAAGGAGGTTGAAAATGCAACATTTTCAAATTTGCCCTGTATTTTAGGAACTAACAGGGCTAGAACAATTCTGTGTGTAGCATATTTAGTTTCATAAAAAAGTAGCCCAGTGAGGTGAAAACCGCATATTTTTATCTCTACTGATAAACGAGAAACCCCTCAAAATCCTCAAAAACGTCCCATGTAATTTACGGACTTCCTCTAACAGCCCTCTATTACGTACATATTTTTCTGCTCCAACCCAAGTAAACACATCTAAAAATAGACACACTGGCATCAATAACGACCCACTCCAACCCCTTATTCCAAAAATACCATTCCCCCCACCGTATCTAACACCACCCCCTCTCATCTCTCTTTCGTGTCTCCATAGGAACTGAGCCCGCCTTGCGAGGCCGAGGAGTACCAGCGCCACCCTCTGTTCAGCAGCCCCTCCATGCCCAACATCTCCCTGGCCGCCCACCACGTGCTCAGCCCCACCGACCTGTCGGAGGCGGCGGTGCGTGCGGCGTGCACCGCGCGCCTCGGCATGCCGCTCACGGGGCAGATGCTGCCCGGCACGCTGCCATTCTACCCCTCCTTGCCGGCGATCGAGAGTAGCGAGCACGAGGAGACGCCGCTGGATACCATCAGCGAGTTGCAGGTAGGGTAGTAATTAAAAAAAAAAGAATATTAACCACTAACGTGGGGAACGGAACATAACAGCTAACGTGCGGTTTGGAGTACCGCTATGCTATTCAGTATAAGACAGTATAACCAAAAAACTCCTTTTGTCAGAAGCATTTATTCATATTCATATAAGTACGTATATGATACCAACAATAGAACAAATCAAACATATCAGGACAAAAAGTATACAGGGTCCGGCAATAGTGCTTGTGTAGCTTGTATAATAAAAACAGGAATTTTCTTTAAGTGCAGAGCTAAAGTTGTGGCTAAAGTATGTATTTCAGGAAAATATTTTAACTTCCACAGAGTGACTCAAAAAGGTGTGAGTGGAGAAATGGAGCATTATTTTATTGCAATTTTGGCTTCCTTTCTGATCACTTTACATAATTTTAAGATAGTATTAAAATTGTTTTGATAGTTTCAGAGATATTAATAAACAAAAAAAATGTATTTAAAAAAAATATTAAAAATAGGTACATGAAATATCTGAAATTAAAACTGTACTAGGTAATTACTGTAGTTGGTCTGTACTTAACTTTGTTATAAATATCGTAATCTTAAACCATACAGGGTGTTCAAAATTTTATGCTAAACTTTGTAAAATATAAAACAGTTTCTCTTCGTTTTTTTTTACTGGAACACCCTCTATATTATTTTCTTGTTAGATGGAGAATTTAAACATGAACATTTTTGCTTTTAAAGTATATTAAAATTCTTAGTAATTAGTAATTCTCGCAAATATTCGCGGTTTTGTTACATATCCGCAAAATCGTTAAAAATTTTGAAATACTTTAAATACCTAAAATGTTTTTTTTTAATTCTCCATCTAACAAAGCAATAATATACTAAGTTTGATTTTCTTGGGATTTAGGCTCGGGAGAACACTGATTAGGTTTTCATTTGGTTTAAATATCTTTATTTGGTTTTAAAAAACAAATGTTTCAGTTAACATTTATAGCCTTTATAGATGTTAGCCGAAAGCGGTTTTTTAAAACCAAATAAAGATATTTAAATCAAACGAAAACCTAATCAGCGTTTTCCCGAACCTAAATCCCAAGAAAATCAAACTTAGAATATTTAAAAACAAGGTTCATAGGGTGTTCAGAAAAAAACGAAGAAAAACTATTTTATATTTTATAAAGTTTGGCATAAAAATTTGAACATCCTGTAAAGTTTGAGATTACGATATTTATAGTCAGTACAGACCAGCTATATAGTAGATACCTAGTATAGTATTGATTTCAGGACATTTCTTGTGTTTTTAATATTCTTTTAAAAAGGCTGAAAAAATATTTATTTATTATATCTCTGAAACTGTCTAAACATATTTAAAATTTATTTAGTACCTATTATATAAACTGATCAGAAAGGAAGCCAATAATGCAACAATATACAAGGATTTCCATTTAAAAAAAAATAATTCCGATCCACTCATACTTTTTTGGGCCACCCTGTAGAAATGTAAATATTTTCCTGAAATACATCCTAATATATACTTTAGGTTTGTACTTAAACAAAATTTTTATTTTTTTACTATAGGAGCGAGGAGAGATGATACAGAGCCCGCAGAGACGCACTATTGCCGAACCCTGTAAAATAGAGAATTTTTACTTATTGGCTATCTTAATTTTAAATCTAAGTATAGCTTCAAGTTTGTTTATCGATATTGATTTGGAAATGAAGATGCACGAAAAAAAAATGAATAAAATGGATGAAAGAGGTTGAAATAGAAATATTAGGTAGACTACCTCTATTAAGGCAATATCATTGGATCTATGTCATTGAAATAAAACAGATTAATGTGAACATTATTTCAACCATATTGTTCAATGTTTTCGCATTTCTAGAAAACTGGAAGCCATTTCTACTTTTGGTGGACCAATCGTATTGATTAAAAAATTTTAAATTTCATTGAATAGTGCTTGCCCGTGAGAACAAGCTGGAACAAGCGTTCAGTCGCATCGAACTGTTTTTCGGTGTGTGTTTCTGTTAAAATAAGTAAATCAAAATGTCGTTTAAATGGAGGGATTTCCATGTTGCAAAATTTCTGGAGTCAAAATGCCCTTCACTCTTCTTAAATGGTTCTTAAGCCGGGTTGTCACTGCGCGAAACTGTTTCGCGAAACGGTTTCGCAAAACTAGCCTCGCTTCGTGTATACTTCGTACTCACCCTGAAACTCGTTTCGCGAATATGTTTCGAAGTGAGCTAGCGTCAGTCGGTTTTCGTTCGCGCATCAATTTTTAAAACTAGATTGAATGTTAAATATTCTTGAATTATGTGAACGAATTTTCCATTTATTTCTATGTTCAATGGTATAGATTCAATGATATTGATCAATAAAATCGACTAATGAGAACCCGCCTTTATTCACAAAGAATTTCTATTGAAGAATGAAAGTTTTTTAAAACCTTTTCTATACCATGTGATTGACTATACTGCTATCTTGATCTATCTATTGAAAAGCGATTTTCAATAAAAGTGATATTCTGATACCGGCGAAAGGTTATGACATTTTAAATAATACCTAAGTAAAAATTGGATTTAACTACAGAAGTCCTTCTATAAATACATGTAAAGAATCTACAGATTTTCTAAAATACCTGACGTAAGAAATATATTCCTAAAAATATTTTAATAAGGTCATTGGAGATTCTAACCCTAAAGATAATTAAGGGGAAAAGGATAAAAATATAAATATAAATTTTCTTTTGTTCCATTGATTCTTCATGTGTATTACAAAAAAATGGTCTCATTATATTAAAAAAAAATACTCTTTCAAGTACCAGATAAAGAAGTTTGATGTTGTCAATGATCAAAAGCAGACAGGTCATTAGTAAAATGAAAATATATCTCGGATGTGCTCCTTTGGGATAAAACCTTTCGTTTCACTGTATTTCAGTTTTATTTATGTAATATAATAAGACATAAAAAATTTAGCCCTAAAGACTTATTTCAAAATACCTGTAAAGATATGTAAAAGTAAAATATAAAATTATACAGATTATAAACTTTGTTTTTTCTTTATTGTTTTTCGTTGTTCCAATTTTCGGAATCGGGCACTAGTTAGGTTACTAGTTTGCGCATATAGCACGCCCACTTATGGCCTCTAAAATTGTGCACAGCGCCTGACCAGCACAGTTATTAGAGAGATATCGGAAAACCGAATAGCGTCATGCAGTATTTACGCGTACCTTATCATGGTTACGATATGCGCGAGTCAATTTTTAACGCAACATCCGCTAATAATGTTACCGCCTGACGTAATTTGCGGATCAATTACACCAAGCGCTATTTCTAAATAACGTTTAAAAATTGCTTAAACGGGAATATGCGGGTATTTGACAATCGGGGCCGGCCGGCGCGCGGCGAGGTCTTTTCTTTTAGGTTATGTTTGAATTGTTTTGAATTATTACTTTAGTTTTATTAGGTAATTTGATATTTAAGTAGCTGAGATTAGTTTTAATTAAATAAATATGGCCCAAAATATGGATTCCATCTCTTCCAATATTAAAGAACCTATAAAGAGGCTTAGGTTTACAGCAGATGACGACTTAGCCCTTCTAAGAGAATTTGTTGCTTGTTGCCCTAAACCCACTGGCAGACGTTGAACAATAAAGCACTGGAAATAAGCACTTTAGCCCTTTAGTTTTAAAATACCTAGTAAACAAAACAATTTCAAAGTTTTAAATTCAAAGTTAGGTTAAGTTCAAATAGCGGACGCGACGCGAACAGAATCCTTTCCGATCCGATAACTATAAATGAAGAGAGTTAATACCACGTAAAGGAAATAACACCTGGCCTTATTAACGTCCATGCACGCTATTCGGTTTAGCGATATCTCTCTATTACGCTGTTTATTGTTATTTTATGCGAGTTTATTTTTGCGCACAGGAAATTTTACTCGTTTGCACATCGTCATAAAAAACAATTTTCGTACCACGAATTAGGGACAAGATTTTTATCTGTATACTTATAGGATACCTAATCTGTGGTCATGCCTTCAGGCTTTACTAACAAAAAAGTACCTTAGAAATTACTTTTTTATATATTTTTCTTTAATTTCAGATAAAAACATCCTTATACATACCCTCTTTCTTTTTTAGTATATTTAAAAATAATTTTAACAAGTAGCTTTATGAAGATACACTACCTATTATTATTTATACCCGAACTATTTGGTTAAATCCAGTTTTGATTCCCTCATAAAATAGTACAGCCTTTTAAATTAACTGAGTCCCTTTCTTAATAATAAATCACCCTATTAGAATAATTTAGGCCTCAATGAGGGTCGACGCTATTTCTGTTGTTAACAAAAAAGAATACAATAGCGGTAGTGATTAGATATTCCTTAAATTAATTAAAGAAATAATGTATAGAACTGGTACTAAAAAAAATTAAAATAGAGAATTCGAAATCATATTCAAATAATATTATTTTCTAGGAACCTCAAGTCAGGGGTGTAATAAGACCACTGGGCAGGACCCAGTCGTCTCCATTGCCATTGGGCCATCCGTTATTGAGGAGTCCGTTGCCTCCTGAACCTGAACCACCTCAACCAATGCCAGAAGAACTAGAACAAAGGGACATGGAGATCAGAACAAATGATTCTAGAAGGTAAAAAAATATAGAATTTTAAAAAACATTGAGAAATACTATTTTAAGCATATTGTAATTAAAACCAACACTTACACTTTAAAAAAGTTTTCTTTATTTTTATGTTATAGGCTTTAACAGCAATAAGTAGCTGCTGTATACTTTTGTATATTCTTAGTTAATGCCAATAAACATTTTTTTTTAACCTAAATTGTTTGTAAATGTTGCAGTAGATTTCATGTTAAATTATATCAGACTAATAAACTACGTCGTTATTGCATTATTAGCTGCACTTTGTAAAAAATAAATAATGTTTCAGTACCTAATAGAAAATCCATTCTTTATTTACTATTTCATGAATGTTTGTTACAATTTTAGTCACGAATGTTCTTTGAAAGTGTTGAATTTGCCATGATTCTCTCGCCAAAGTGTGCCCCGAATAGAAAATAGATTTTACTTACTTTAGTGTTGGTTATTCAACAAGTGGCCGTGAAATAAAATATAAATAAGTAAAATGGCGAGTATATACAGCATGTCCCCGGATTGTCTTTGCAAGAGGAAAAACTTTTTTATTATTGACATTCTAAGAAAAATGTATTCTTCATAAAACTTTTTGCTTGTTCTAAAATGGTTAATCTCGTTTATACTTTTACAAATTTCCATACCGTTTTGGAGAAAATTAAAAAAAAACATGAAAATATGGTTGACTTTTTTCCTAAAAAAAGTCAACTATATTTTCATGTTTTTTTATCCTAAAGTTTAAAAATTTATCCCTATTTTAAAGTCCAGAACGGTTCTGAAAGGAGCTGTGCACGATAGCCTCGTGCCTCTATATGGCGCGGAACAGTTCTGGAACTTTATGACTCAATTGAATGGAGTGAGAGTATCGCGTTCTTGAACAGTTCAGAGCTGCGCAACCGCGTGAAAGGAGGACAGTAATTGAGATATCATTCGGTCAGTCATCCGTATCACAAAATTGATAAAAAAATCACTTCGCTGGTCAAATAGTACAAGAATAAAATAAAGATTTTCTGAGGTTTTTATGAAATTATGTTTTTATTCAACTCGCACGTTTTATTTTTCCATAATACAGGGTGGTCCGAACTGTATTCCGGAAACTTTGGCAGCATATTCTGCAGATGAAAATATGTAAAAAAGTTCCTATAAATGTATGTCCTGAAATGCGTAGTTTCGGAGATACAGGGTGTAGAAGTTTCATTTTTATTTCGATTTTTTCCAAATACTTTCTAAAGTAACGTTAATATTTGGACGCCTGGTATGTTTTTTGACATGAGAAATTTGATTTTGATGTTAATATGACTCTAATTTGTAGGGGGCGCCACTTACATGTATTTTAACTGCTTTTAAGAGTAATAACTTTTCGTCGCCACCTGTGTAAAACTACTGAGTGAAAAAATATACATTACTGTGATTTTTATCATAAAAAATGTCTCTTGGTAAAAAACGCTACGAGCAACCGTTCTCAAGATATTTAGAATAGCAACAGTTAATACATGTCATTGTTGAAAAAATAAACATGTTGAATAGATAGTTATTTGACTAAAATTATAAATTTCAGACCTATTTTTTAAATTAATCATAAATTTTTCTTCGAAAAAATGATAATAAAATAGTTTCTGTTTTAACTGAACTTTTGGCACAAAAACGTTTCAAATTTATGATTTCAGTCTAATAACTATTGAGTCAACATGTTTAATTTATGTCAACGATGACAGGTATTGATAAAATTCGATTCCAAATATCTCGAGAACCATTATTCGTAGCGATTTTTACCAAGAGACTTTTGTATGTAAGAAAAGTCGTAAATGTATATTTTCTTACTCAGTAGTTTTATACAGGTACGGACGAAAAGTTATTACTCTTCAAACCAGTTAAAAAATATGTAGGTGGTGCTCTCTACATGTAGGAGTCATATTGACATCAAAATCAAATTTCTCATGTCAAAAAACTCTCAGACACCATTTTTCATCCAAATATTGGCGTTACTTCAGAAATTATTTGGAAAAAATCGAAATAAAAATGAAACTTCTACACCCTGTATATCGAAAACTAAGCATTTTAAAACATATACGAACTTTTTTACTTATTTTTATCTGCAAAATATGCTGCCGGAGTTTCTGGAATGCAGTTCGGACCATCCTGTATATTGCTATGGCGTTTTTACTGTAAATATACCATTCCTGAATGAAAATGTCAAAGGCGTCTGTTTAATATTTATACAATCTAATCGACTCTTAATTATATCAATTTGACTTTACGATAGCGAGGGTGAGATTAAGAGAGGGCAAATAAAAAACAAAGTGCTGCTCGAAAGCCACTTGGGGTTTCGTGAAAACTCCAGCTTTTCCACGTAAATACTCTGTCCGATCACGCGACAGGTAAGGAACGGACGTTTTTAAAAAGTAGTGACCTTTTCCGAACTTCGTTATCGCCCTTATTCCACCTGGCGAGAAATCACGTAACGAACCTTCCCTTGAGCTGTGTGGGTTTGCAAAGAAACCTTCGCCCAGGTTTGTCGTCATTAATTTTTTGCAGTGGCGGGCATCAGGCTGAAGCATTGATACCATTCCTGCTGATTATTATGAAAAATTAACGAAGTCCTGAATCCAAATATTATTGTTTTCATTGAACAAGGAATACCCCAAAGATAGTAGGCGTTACCCAGTGTGTTGTATCGAAAACATATGCAAGGTATTTGGAACTAGGAACTGTAAAGAACAGGCCCAGACAAAGTCGTCAAAGAGTCACAACTGAACAACAAGACCGCTTTGCGTGCCAAATTGCTAGAAGAAATCCCAATGTTTCTCATCCAGAGCTACAAAGACAACTTCTGGCAGGTACAGGTGTGAACGTTTCAGTTGAAACCATGAGAAATAGACTTCGTGTTCGAGGGTTGTACAGTAGGAAAGAGTTACGGGTCCCACATATCTCGGCAAAATAAAATTGACTGGCTAAATTGGTGCGTTTAATATCAAATCTGGACAATTTTGAGAATTGGCAAAATGTTCCTTTTTCGGATGAGGCCAGAATTGGTCTAAGATCAGATGACCATCGAATTCGGGTTCTCGGAGCTCCAGGAACACGAGCGAGATTCCAGACTGCCAAATATGTTCCAAGATATAAAGAAGAAACTGTAATATTCTGGACAGGTATTATGTTGGGGCAAAAACTCCATTATTACCACTTCAACAAACTTTAACGGATCGGAGGTATGTTGATTTAGTGCTAGAACCAATTGTTATAGGCTTTGGAGACCTACAATTGAAAATAATTTTTACTTCATGCACTATAATGCACCTCCCCATACCAGCAGAGTGGCTAGAGAATATCTTGGAAGGTGTCAGAGTTTTGGACTGGCCTGCATGTTTACCAGATCTAATCCCTATCGAACACTTGTGGGACCAGCTCAAAGGAAGAGTTAGAGCTCGTCGAAACAATCCTGGAAATCTTGCACAGCTTATTGATCAAAAGGAGATAATATGGATGAGATATGCTCAAAACAGAACAAAGTTGAGATGCCTTTTAGAAACTTCTAGAAAACATTTAAAGGATATTTTTTTCTTAAAAAAGATGTAATCCACCACTGGCCTTAAATCGCCTTGATTTTCTCTTGCTCCCGTTCCATTCCCTTCTTCCTCTCCAATCGCCCGTTCCATTTCTCCTTCGCCCACTTCTCCATGCTTTCAATTATTCAAGCTCTTCGGCAAAAGCGGCTTCGGCCTTGAAGGCTTTCTCTAAAAATAGCGGAAATCGATAAAGTATGTGGCGACCACCTATCCGGCCCAAAATAGCACCGCGAATCGTTTTCGAACCTCAGCAGCAGCAGCAGCAAGGGGATCAGCAGGAACAAGGGGGGATGTCCATGCAGAGGCGGTTGGGTTAGGGATGCAAGATACGAACGACCTTTTGTGTATCGATACTTTCATGAAGGTTGCTCTTGTTATTTTCTATCAATATAACTAAAGTTAGTCAAGAAATCAATATAACTAAAGTAACCATAGTCAAGAAATTCAATAATTGTGATTCAGTCTAGCCAGTGGATATACAGGGTTTTTCTCAGGCACTTATTAATAAATACTTGTAGGGTTTTGTCAGTCTGGTACGTTTCTACGTCTCGCAAGTGTATAACATCCTTGATTTTATGGATACAAATAAAAAAAAATATTAAATAAAATTGGATAAAACAAGCAATTGCAAATGAGTTTCATAAACTTTGCATTATCCCAGTAGTGTCCACTTTTCTTGAGTTATAACGTGTTATAACTCATCATACAGTCTCAGGGTTTTGACAAAAGCCAGTATCTGATACGGTTTTACAGAGGTTAGTTCTCCATCTCCGATATCAGTTGTACCAAACTTCATTGCACGACTGGTTGTCGTCTAGGCGCACTCAGTGATAAGGTGTTCTGGTATTTCCTATTATCCCCACAGAATCTGCATATTATCCCAGTAAGGAAGCAACAGTAACAACCAAAGATAGCCTTTGTATTGTATTTCGAAGTCTCACAGAATATTTGCAACTCAGTGGAACCTTTCATCACTTCTAACTACACGGAGATATGGGATATGAAAATAACTACCGGGTCTGCATGAGAATATCATCAAGAATCATGCAGGAATAAAAAAGCTGAATATTTTTGGTTTGGTTTTCATAAAATGAAAGACATCACAAAACTTAAAAGAAATAGTAGGAAGAAATATACAGATGCAAATGAGCTAAAGAAGATACGTATCATATCCTGATATATTATGCTGAGTATCGATATACATTTGCTTTAAAAACGTTTTTAACTGATTATTGTCCAGTATCAATTTTATACTGTATCGATACCGGTCTGGACCGATACATAATATCGATATTATTAAAACCATAGAGCATCTCTAGTCTGTGCCCCGGGATCCGATTCCAATTTACTTCTATAAAAAGACGAAAGCCGTTGGAAAAATGTTGCCGATGACGCTAGGGCCTTCTCGTTACATAATGTATTGGGTTACGTCAAAGTTCTCTAATTACACCGAAAGGAAACCAATAAGTGTTATTGACGCAATTCCTATAAATATCATTTAATATTTCTACTACCTTGATCGAATTTTCAAAATAAAATTGTTGTTGATCACGTGACTTTCAGAATTTGTATTTTGGTTATAAATGCGTTGGATTTATTTATAAAAGACAATTTGCCTTATTATTTTTATTAAGACTAATAAAGACTAGTATTTGAGACTGTTTAGATCGTAATCTAAAATAATCAATCACTTAAGTGGGTACTACTAAAATTAATAAGGAACATTCATTCTAATTCGGTCCATTGGAACTAGTGCACGATCTCAAGAGTGACTGTTGGTACCAACAAATTCATGCGATTTTCGGTAAATCTGCTCCTTCACCTTCACTTTGATTTAACCACTCTCACCATTGTGACTTGCGTACAGAAGTTTAGAGTAGCTCGTCTTGTAGTTTGGTTTGGTGTAGTAGTAGTTTTTCAAGCAATAAGGAATTGGGGATCAAATTTTCGATATATCGCTACTAAATATCTTCACATCTACTCAAGCATTTCTACCTACTACCAGAAATCAACAGAAGAATTAAGTTGGTATGGAGTACTTATGGAAGAAACTCAATCATATTTAAATCTAAAATGCCACTTTATCTAAAGAAGAAAACATTCGACCAATGTGTACTACCAATGATGACCTCTGCATGCGAAACCTGGACACTTAAAATGGACATTATAAGGAAAACGCATGTCGCACAATGCTCAATGGAACGAAATATGCTGGGAATAACCAAGAAAGATCCTAAAAGAATAGAATGGATACGGCAAAAGACCCAGGTAATAAATGTCATCCACAGAATCAAATTCCTCAAATGGCAATAGGCAGGACACCTGGCAAGAAGAACGGATAATAGAAGGATCACCAAAATTACAGCATGGTATCCACGAGGAATTAAGATACCTAGAAGAAGGCCGAACCTGAGATAGGACCATGATATTAGAAAATTATCAGGGATAACTTGGGCCCGTATAGCAAACAATAGATAACAATGGGCCCAACTCCAAAGGGAGTATCTAATGAGGCTACATCATAATTGAAAATGCTTGAATAAGCTGAAAATGATGATGACTCAAGGGTTTTAATGGAGAACTGGAGAATGTTTTATTTTAAATTAATCTAATTTTCTCACATTTTTACGCCGTTTTTCGGAATTTTTTTGTTGGCTAAATCTCCTTACTCCCCTACGTGATCAAAAGTGAGATACGGCTTGGCCTCCCCTTTTATATAATTTATAGCTCAAGTAAAGATCATTTTTACCATTGATAAACAAAATATACACATTAGATCGATACTATTGATCCTCTGTCTCTTTTTCCAGCATCCGGCCGTTATCTCGCGCCGTCAGCTCCCCAGTCGTCCACCTCGGCCCCCCGGACGGCATCCCCGCATTGGCCATCAGGCGGCGGGCCTCCTCCACCCCCACCACCGGCCTGGCCTACGACAGCCAGATGCTGAAGCACAGCTGCGCGTGCGGCAACAACGCCGTCCACCCCGAGCACGCGGGCCGCCTGCAGAGCATCTGGTCCCGGCTGCTGGAGACGGGGTTGGTGGCCAAGTGCGACCGGCTGAGGCCGCGCAAGGCCACCACGCAGGAGCTGCAGACATGTCACTCGGAGACGCACGCGCTGTTGTTCGGTACCAGCTCGCTAAGCAGGTTAGTAGTGGGGAGGATTGATAACATACTAGCCCTGGTCACCTTATTTCCTTGGTCTATATTTTAATGTACTCGACAGAGATAAATATACACGACCAGTTGACGGACAAAGAGACTAAATAAAAAGCGGCATACAGTGTTGCCGGTTCGTGCGTGAAATACATAATAAGCGAAGATAATACATCTACGGTATTTAAGAATGCTCATTTCTGTTAGACAGTTGCTTGATAACATGGTATAACATATCTGCAGTCACTGTTCACAAAAAAAACATAGAAATAAATATTCATTGGTTTGTTCAGATTAGTTCCGAAATAGTGCTACTAATCGTATTTTAATGTGTAAAGCTTCGTTCTATAACTATGCAATGTCATGAGTTACACGCCATATAAATAAAATTTGGACTAAATTCAAACAGCTGTCATTTTTGCCTGTAGTTACTAAACTATAGTACTAAACTACAGCACTAAAATGCAACATTTTTCGTAAAAAAATGGGCGGTTTGAAATTTTGACGCAAAATCCGGCAATGCCGCATAGTAGAGATGTATCAGTCCAATTATTTATCTCTTTTTAATACATTTGATTTTTCTTCTCCATCTCTGTCTTACACGTTAAAATCTAGACCACGCTTCTAAGATCATCAAAACTGTATAGGAACAAAGACATCGTTATTTAGATGTCTTTGTATAGGAACTATATAAAATTTATTTCTAAAGCATTTATTTATGCAAAAACTTTATTTATTTATTCAATATGTAAAATTTTTAAATAAAATGTATATATTTAAGAAACTAATCATAACAACAAAAGGAAGTCATTGATATGTATTTAAAATTAAATATTATTATATGATTAATAATAAAGTGAATTTTGCATATAGAAATAGATATTACACCAAATTAACCAATTACTTAATAAAAGCGAATTTTAAAATAAATGTAGGATAATATAAAGATAATATTAAAATTAGCACAATGATACATCCACAATCAAACTAAAAAATTACTTAATTATGGAAAATCTCGAGACTGATATATATTGTCTATAAATTACTCTTAAATTAAAAATGACATATTATTATTGCTCATTATTAAAATATTTTATATTTTAAAATATATTTATAAAAAGTACTTACATTAATATTTTGGTATCGAAGCATTATATTCAAAAAAGCTTAGGAACAAGTGTGTTTAGGAAGTCTGATTTTATCATAGACTACGTTAAAATGTTTAAATTTTCATTTATTTCTCTTGTTCGTTTAGTGTCCTTAGTCTTTATACCGATCTGGTCATCGGATCTGCGTGGTCTGGATGTTAACGTTTAAGACAGTGATGTAAACAGTTTAAATGAAAAATGAAATGTATTAAAAGGAGATAAATGTTAGGTTGAAACATTTCTTCTATGCGATATTGCCGGATTTTGCATCAAAATTTCAAACCGCACAAGCAGGTGTTTACCAAAAATGTTGCATTCAGGGTTGCACCTTTATTCACCTAAATTACTCATTTCACTAGCTGTAATAGATTCTTAAACAACTATCTAACAGAAATTATCATAATAATAGATATATTATCTTCGTTTATTATTTTATTTCTCGTACGAACCGGCAACACTGTATGCCGCTTTTTATTTGTCTCTCTGCCTGTCAGCTGGTCGTATATCTCAGGTTATCTCTGTCGTATGCATTAAAATGCAGACCACGGAGATAAAGTGACCAGGGCTATTATAATACATACCCCTCTGGCAAGCGAACCTTTAGGTCGGCGTTTACATGTATAGGATAGGAGTGAGTCGTTATGGCAATCCAGTAAGTCGGACTGAGCAAAAATACGAAGTATTTATTACATAACTACTTAATCTGACGCTAGATTCCATGCGCTTGGGAAAATACTCGCCTTCTGTCTTTATTCAGTACATCTTATTTTACTAAGCGTGTTGACCATACCCTTCGTACACATGAAAACTGGCACCCAAGACCAGAAATGCCGACCCTTAGTATACACTAATATAATTTAAACCGTGGAATCTTTATCTATTCCATAAACACATTATTTATTTTTTGTATCCAAACACTATTTCTGAAAATTTATTTTCTTATTTTTCCAGGCACAAAGTCGACGTGAGCAAACTGAGCACCCTCCCAGTGAACGCGTTCGTGCGCCTCAACTGCGGCGGCATCGGCGTAGACACCGACACCACCTGGAACGAGCACTACACCGCCCCAGCAGCCCGCATGGCCGTCGGCTGCACCGTCGATCTGGCGGTGCGCACCTGGACCGGCGACATCCGCAACGGCTTTGCCATAGTCCGACCACCCGGCCACCACGCCGAACCCCAACAAGCCATGGGCTTCTGCTTCTTCAACTCCGTTGCCATCGCGGCGAGAGTACTCCAAAAAGACCACAGGGTTCCCAAGATACTCATCTTCGATTGGGACGTGCACCATGGAAACGGAACGCAAGACATATTCTACGATGATCCTAGAGTTTTAGTTATTTCAATGCATCGACATGACGATGGGAACTTCTTTCCTGGTACTGGAGCTCCTACGGAATGTGGAACTGGAGCTGGGCTGGGATATAACGTCAATATAGCTTGGTCAGGTGGTTTAAACCCACCTCTAGGAGACGCGGAGTACATGGCAGCGTTCCGCAGCATCGTCATGCCCATAGCGAGAGAGTTTGATCCTGATATAGTCCTGGTGTCAGCTGGTTTTGACGCTACTGAAGGACACTTACCTCCCTTAGGCGGTTACAGAGTCTCACCTGCCTGTTTCGGACACATGATAGCTCAATTGATGCACCTAGCTCGCGGACGAATAGTCCTAGCTCTCGAAGGAGGCTACGATCTACCTTCCATCTGCGATTCTGCCGAAGAATGCGTTAGAGTTCTCCTAGGTGACAATCCCTCTCCTATATCACCTTTAGAACTAGCTAGAGCCCCTTGCGCTAACGCCGCTATAGCTTTGCAGAAGGTGTTTGCTACTCAAAGTGCTCACTGGCCTTGTCTCAGGGAAGCCTCGAAGACGGCTCTGTGCTCCTTCACGGATGCTATGAGGACGGAGAAGGTTGATAAGGAAACAGTAACGGCCATGGCGAGCTTGTCCATGCAGCACCAGCAGCACATCCCCATGGTGACGTCGCCCATAGCCTCGTCACCGTCTGCGTTTCACCCCGCCAGTCCCCAGGATGCCGGCCGTTCCCCAGCCTGAAAGCAGGTGGCAGCATCGTCGTCGTCGTTTTTGGCTTTCCCCGGCAACACAACATTCCGGCAGTCGCTCGAGAAGCAGTGACCGCCAGTTTTTAACGTTTAAGAAGAACAAATTGATCGTGTGTTTTATTTTTGTTAATATATTCAAAGTTTTTAATAAAACATTTATTTACTTTAATATTTGTTATTTTTATTTATTATATAAATATGTTTATATTATAGTAAATATATCATATTTACACAAATATATAAATGTTTCAGGAAGAACCGTGATAATAAAATTGTTTGAAGCATTTTGGTATTTTTATTTCTTAAAATTCGCAAAAAATTAAAAGCTCAGAATATAGACATTAAAGCTTGTATAGTTGACAGTGACAGATTTTATATAAAAAAATCAACTAAAAAGCTGGAATAGGATAATATAACTTTTTTGAAAAAACCCGAAGCTTTTAAGTAAGAATAATTCTTTTTATTTTTGAGTGTAGGCACAGCTTTCTTTAAATTATAAAATTTAATGAGGCAGCATTATTTTGTAAAAATATTGACATGACTTGAGATAACTTTAATCAACCACAATCATGTAAAATTCGCTAATTTTTAAAAAAGAACTTTTATGAAACTGGGCTAGTAAAATTTCCCAACGATATCAGGAAAAAAAACCACGATATCAGGAAAAAAAATACTTTTAATTTTTTCCTAATTCTCTGATTAAATAAAAAACAAAAAATCCGGCGACGACAGTTTTTAGAAGAGCCATTTAGCTATCTTTTAGTAAAAAAAAAACAACTTTCTAGAGCAAGTCGTTACTTCAGTAGAGACGACACAGATAAACATTAGCATTTTATATATTTTATGTAGATATGTAGACTCAAATACGTTTAAATAAAATATACGGAGGGTTTAAATTCCTGTCCCGATATTGAAGGATAGCTATAGAATTTCAATACATTTTCTACATAAGTCTATCCTTGTGCTGTAGGAGGTTTGACTAAACAAGGATGAACTGATGTCCTGAACCATTCAGACTCGATTTTCTGTCCTTCAATACTGGGACGTAAATCCTCTCATTGCCCTTATGGGGAGGCCGTCGTATATTTTATTTTAAACGTATTTGTGTAGATTAGTAAATCACCATCTGTATTTTATCATTGTATATCTAGTTGCCTAAACATACTGTTAAAAATAAAAACGCCCAAAATAAGTTATTCATTTAGTTGTAGTTGTTAATTTTTATATACTACCTATCCGATTGTAGCTACAACTTGAAAGTCCTCACGTTTTTCTAAGAGATAAAAGTTACTTAAACAAAAACGTAAAGATGTAAGCTTATCAAGAGCTTGTAAACTTTAACAAGAATTTTAAGTACTTATTCGCAGATAATTTTTAAAATTTCTCATTTTTTCTGTAAAGTTCACGAAGTAAGAACATTTGCCCATATTTTTGTCTTTCTTGGACCCATTTTGTTATCCATTTAGATCGACTTATCTTTTATTCATTTTTTTTGCACAATTTCCAGCATACACAAACCCAATAATGCTACTTTTTTTCCTTCTCCATTCTTGATATTTTTCCGAAAATCTGCCGAGATTTTATACGAGTATAAAATAACTAACCCGCGGTTCAATCCCCTCAAAATTTGAGAGAATTTGTAACTAACTAACCGATTTGTCCCTTCACAGATCAATTCCGTTCAGAAAACGAGAGGTTTGATATTTACGTTAGTGGACAATGGAAGGTCTGTCCCCTCGCAGACCAGATCGGCGGAATTGGAATGATAGATCGAGCAGCGGGACAGATCGTTTAAAAATACCTCTCTTATATCACTAAACAATTTTGTAAAATTACGTTGAAACTCTATTAGACTTTTAAAAGTTGCTTATATTATAAATGAATCATTCAATTAGTTCTCTAGACGGTCTTCCATCTTAACTCCGTTTCTTCGTCTACACACAATATTTTACTTGATACGTTTTGACTGAACGGGTAAGACTGACAGGTAAAACCTATGTGTAGACGAGGCTTTAAATCGTTCATCTAAACTAAAACCATGCAAATAAATCACTATATAACGTAAATAGCAGTTGTAATGAAATTTTACGGATTTTCAAGTTCTAAACAAAGTTTCAAATGTCTTGGTGTAGTCCAAAAAGTCAGTCTTAATTTTAAAGATTTTTCTTAATTTGAAGAAAATCAGAATTTTTTTGGCGCGTTTTTTATTGAATAATGCTCTAAAAAATAATGTAACAGGTTCACCGTAACCGCTGGTTCGGTATTTTGTGTACACTACGAATTGTCATGTTTTTCAAAATTTCCTATATTGTTTACAGTTCAATATTGACATAACGCTACAAATTAGTGCGCCTTTTTTAGTCTAATCACTGTTGCAGGTCGTTGAATGCTAGACAGGTTGTTTCTGCTGAAAAAGTTAGAGTCTAAGACAGTATCCAGGTAAGTTAAATTTAATATAGTATTAATAATAATTTAATATTCAATACTTAATTCAAATAATTTTATTTTAAAATGTTGTTTAAGAGTAAATTTAAATATATTTTTGCAAAAGTTAACACTAATTTTTTTAAAGCTCTAAATATATTTTTTTCTGTTATTTTTTGTTATACTTTCTTAGTTATTCCTTATATTTTTTTATAGTAAGGTTTTTATTTGTTATTATCAATAACTAATAAAATTTTAATATTGTTATGTAACAACGAAAATTTTACTACAGTATTGTGGTTACCAGAGGAAAAACTTTTTTATTACTGGCATTTTGAGAAAAATGCATTATTCATACAAATTTTTGCTTGTTCTAAAATGGTTAATCCCGTTTAGTCTTCTCCGAATTTCCATAGTATTTTAGAGAAAATTTAAAAAAATATATATAATTAAATTTACTTAACTATTTTTTATAAAAATATCACATCAATTCTGTAAAAATAAAATGTAAAACAAGAAATAAAATTAATACCAGGTTATGATTATTAATTATTTATATAAATATTTTCCCGGTTATTTTCTTTACAGGTTTCTTTGTTCTGTCCTATCGACATCATCCCTCCGATCGATGAGGGTGAATTTCCCAGCTACGCGCCTGCGCAGTTTCCATCTATAGATTTTCCGGGCAGCGCTTCGAGAAACTGCCCCTGTTATGGCTGCCAGTAGTGACCATGCCTTCACTATTCACCCTTTCCAATCGGTGAGTCACCCTTAATTTTATTTTATTTATTTACATCGGGCGCTGTCTGTCAAACTTATTACAGAAAAACTCTTTTAATTCAAATGTAGAGGTTGGCATTTTTGTGTTGGGTGTTTTTTTTAAAGAATATGTAGTTTTTTATTTGAGTTTGAATGGTTTTCAAAAATATGCCGGGTGAAACAATTAAAAAAGATAAATAAGAAACAATAATATACACTTTTTTAAATACATATTTATGATGTTAGTCAGTGAATGTAATTTAAGTATACATATGTTATCCTTTTGGGTAATTAAATAAAAAATATAGGATTTTGGGGTATAATAGATGTTTTATCAATACGTCAAGTAAATGCCTGTTAACACACATTTTTTTATAAAGCCTTTATATGTCTTTGTTTCAATTTTATTGTATTTTAGAAATATTTTAAACGGTTTGTTAATATATTTTTTATAGTAAAAAGTATTAATTCTAAAAAATATATGTAGAGCACAAAAGTCGAATATTAAAAGCTGTTTGAAAAAATATATTCTATTTTCGTATTTTTTAATTCTTGTTTGCCCCTTTATATATCAGAAATATTTTTAATAATATTGCATTTTTATTACATAAAAAATAATTAATTCATTTTTTACACGAGGAAAAGTAAACCTTGTTTTAAAAAGAATATCCTGTATTTTCTCTTTCGAGTACGGTAATTTTTGAAAAATATTTTGAAATTTTTTGATAATGTTAAACAAATATATTAAATCTATGAATAATTTTTAAACACAGTAGGGTCATATACATATTTTTTTTGTTTGGCTTTGATAGTTGAGAGAGATAGTTTGATGAGAATCAACCTTTTTATTGGTACTCCTAATAAAAATATGCTATTATTACTTTTTCTAAAAAGGTTCACAAATCAAATTATGTTTTTAGGTAGAATAATTAACTGAGTATTCTCTATAAAGGATGTTTAAACAGATACGACACTCACATAAAAATGTTTTTCTCTATTTTCTTATATTGTTGACAATAACATTACAGTTGCCAGGTAAACATATACAAAATGAAATTGAGATGCATATTTTGATTTTAGTTCATCCAAGAGAATATTTTTATTTGCATTTTTTTAAATACTTGAATGATAAACTCAATGAGATTGTTGAGATATAATAATAATGATGATGAATGATGAGTCTTTCCAACGAGTTAGACAAGATTTCGACAGACAATATCCGGAAAATGACAGAAAATGCAATTTACCTGTGAATTAAAATGACAGAGAACTGTGACGGTTATCAATTTTCTCCTTGAGCCAGGCTGTCAATACAAAATATAGTTTAAAAATGTCCCTGTAGCTTGCCTAAAATAATAAAATAAATCCTTTTTAACACGTGTAGCATATAGTGTTATATGAATTGCGTAACTACTGTGTAACGCTTGAGGAAACCCTAGAATGGCAACACGTAGGTACTGTAAATATGAGTATAAAATCCGTAGTAAACTTTTAAAGCTCTTTAAAACCACAAAATCCTTAAATCTTTACTATATTTTTTTATAAGATTTAACAGGAGAAACAAAGAAAAATACAATACATATACTATGTTTAAAAACCTACCGAATACAGGGTGCGTCTTAAAAGTGGCTCAACCCTATAACTTTTTTATTTTTTCAGATAAAACAACGAGATTTGGTATGTCAGTATATCACATAAATTGGGATTGATTGACGTATTCAATTGTTTTTGGTCACTTCCTGTTTCACCGGAAACGACTACAACTTTTGATTTTTAAATGTCAACCTCGGCATATTTCTACTTTATGCGATAGAAAATGACACTGAATAGAATGACATATCATATACCAAATTTTGACATTTCCGCTTAAAAGAAAATCGTATTTAAATTTCAATCTAAAGTACCATGGCTGTGTTAAAAACACTAATTTTTAATCAAGGAGCCTTGGAAAAATAGATTTGATAATCTGAAGTTTT